GTGTGTGTGTGTGTGGCTGTATTTATAGTACGAATTTCGAATGTTTTTGCAATCAGCCCTGAGGACACTGCAGGTAGTGGTCACTAGAGCGCACAGCATTATAATTATAATTACATATATATATATATATATATATGAATGTGTTTGTGTGGCATGTGTTATACTTTATATTCCTTCTACATATATATATTTTTAAATATATATATAAAATAAAAATATCTCTCGCTATATATATCCGTGCGTGAGATGGCTATACCTACCCCCACACATACAATGGTGTATGTGTATATAGTCTCACACCCATGCCCCTTGCCATGCCTGGGGCTATAGTTCTTCTGTTCACCACAGTCGACTGAACATACCAAATCTTGTCAAGGTAGTGACTACCAACAGGTGGGGCCATTTGGGTTTTAGGGTTTGGGCCCGTACTGACCTTGATCCAACCCTAATATGGGGTGTGTTTACCTACCTTACTCCGGAGCAGATCTATTTATAGACACCGGGGTGCGACACAGCGAGTGGAGCCAAGACTTCAGTCTGGACATGCCCGGGACTAACGGGGCGGTCTCATTGCTCCCCACGGGTGACTACATGCGAGGAAAAGTCCGGTACGACCTGACAGTCCAGATATCTATGGTAAACTCAATCAGCCGCATGGTGACGGTTAAACCAAGGTGTGTGGGGTTGTGAGGTTACCTTCTGGTGTATTTATAACCAAGTTATGTGTGTGTGTGTCTACGTGTGTATGTTGTATGTGTGTGAATGTCCACTTTGATGTTGTATCTGTATGAGTGCTTGCATTGGTGTTGGCTTATTGTCAAATGTCTCTGTAGTGCGGTATGTGTGAATGTCCACTTTGATGTTGTATGTGCGTGAGTGTGTGCATTGGTATTGGCCTATTATCAAAATGTCTTTGCAAAGTTATCTGTGTAGTTGCGTGCCACATGTTCACTTTTTTTGTTCATCATGTCTAAATATGGACTCAGGTCGCTGTGACCAGGATTGACGTTTATGCTTGTTTTCATCAGGCTGGTGTGTGATATACATGCAAGCTTACGGTTGATATAACACTCACTCACAAACACTCCTTGAGCGGACTGATTCCCACTGTTCTTCAATACCAAATCTACAACTCATGTATGCCAGTGTGTAATTATTTAACATCAGTTTATGCACAACATATATATGGAAACAAATAAAACATCACAGCATATAAAACACATAAAACGTCAGAACATATAAAATATATAAAACATCACAACATATAAAACGCATAAAACGTCACAACATTTAAACATATAAAACATCACAGCGTATAAAACATATAAAACATCACAACATATAAAACATATAAACATATATACGAAACTGCGTATGCAATTATCAGTATTTAATCCATAACACATCTATATAACGTGTATACATAGATCTGTATGTATACCACCGGCTGCCTGATTTCCTTATATGTACATCTCATCCCTACCAACCGACCTACCTACCTACCACCACCAGATTTGTCATGTGCAATCTCACGCACCAAGCCCTGCAGATTGCCACAACCGTTGGTACCAACTTTGGGGCGCTGGTAGGTATACCTGACGATGAGCATAGTCTGACTATAGCACCACACGAAGAAGCTCCATGGTTCTGCAGTGAAGCTGCAGGATCACTTATCCAGGTAAATGCGGTAGTACGAACACTTGTCTGGTATGTCTACGAGTATATATATATATATATGTATGTATATGTATGTATATG